TAGAATGAGCCACAGGTCGCCTTCCGTGGAGGTCGCCGTGTTTCTACAGTAGCCCAGAGCGGACAAACCAAATCTAGATAGGGTCGTTCTCCTTTGCACTTCGAAAAGGGAGGAAGAAGCAAAGGTGTCGCAGTCTGCAACTAAACCACTAGAGGCCACTAAATTCTTCAGATTGATTGTTTACTTTTAAATAATTTTTCTTTTCTTGGTGAAGCAGCTTTTTTATGCTTCAAGGTGTTGGTACAGCTTTACATTTTTAGCCTGGCTCTACCTGCAAAAGTTTTATTGTCCTGAGATATTATCAGCCAGATGTACTTAAAATAATAGGTTTTCAAAAATGCTTATTTGCTTTCTTACCAAGAGTCAGATGAGGAGATCGATACCACTTGCATGTTTGTTCGGGAAAATATGAAGCCAACAGCTTGTTATCTTAGCTTAGTAGCTTGGCTTAGCATAAAGACTGGAAACAGCTAACCTGGCTCTGTCCAAAGGTAACAAAGTCCACCTACCAGTGCCTGAAGCTCTCTGATTAACATGTTATATGTCATTTGTTTAATATGCACAAAAAGTGTTAGAAACAAGTTCTTGCCAGAGCCAGGTTGGCTGTTTCTCCCTGCTTAAATATTCTTATTGATTTTGTTGCCCTTTTATCATCTACTGCTTGATAAGTTGTATTAGTTTTTAACATTTGGTTTAAGTTGGTTAGATCGATTGATTGACTGATAGTACTTTCTGCAGACAAACAAGTGCTGTGTTTGCACCAACTTTGATGAGGAGGTGCTGACCACAGAAAGCAGCTGCATGCTCACAACACCTTTGTTCTTCATTTCAACAACGCCGTCATAAGACTACTATATTTTAAATGTGTCTATAATGCATGTAAGGACACTCACAATTTAAATTCATTGACAAAACATCCTGACCTTGTTTTTAAGAGCACATAATGGTTGCTGATGCATTTTATCAGCCCCTATAAAACATTATACATCCATAATAAATCATAATCATCTCATGAATGTTTATGACTTGTTGTCTGACAGCCTTCTAAAGTGCCATTATGTTTAATGCTTTTCAAATGCATCATTCAACAGTATGACATTACACAAAAAGAAAAATGACACACACAGTTGTGATTCTTGATGAATCGTCGTTTTCTATGAGCACTCTGATGTGTGTTTATAGCATAAGGTGACTCATATTGAAATACCGCTTCTTATCATTTCTACAACTGTCAGGAAACATCTGAAAGCTCATTAAATACATTCACATGATTGTAATACAGCATAGAATAGAAAGTTTAATGCAACTGCAAAGCATGCTGAGAGTAAACAATGAATAAATTATCATCTTTACAGGATAAAAAGTTTAAAATGATGAAAAAAACTCCTACAGCAGCTTTATTATTTTCTCTGTATGACTCATAATGTCTCTGATCAATCTCTTCTTCTCTGATGTCCCAGTGTGCTTTAACGGTTGAGGAGGCCAGGATGCTGAGTGCTTAATGGTTATTTAGTTGGTGGAAATTACTCAAACAGTGATGCGCCAGTCTTGAAGAAGATGATGCATCTGATGTTCAGGTCATGAGCCATTTATGTACTTCAACAGTTGAGGCTGAACTGCTGAGTGCTTAATGGTTATTTAGTTGATGGGAATTACTCAAATACACTCATGAAGAGTAGAGAGGCGAATCTGGTCATTACAGTAAGTAGATGATGGAGCTCGGAAGAGGGTTTGTGATAAATGATACCGCTTTGAAATACTTTTTCGGGGAAGTATAGCTCTTTGTTTTCTTGCAAAAATCAGAAGAGTAACCACGGTGTCCGGCCAACTGAACCCGAAGCTTTGGTGGCTCATGTGAGGACGGGAGGATTAGTCTCGTTCCAGGGGTGAAAAAAGTGAGCCGCTGGCAGAGCATCAAGTGAGAATGTAAGTGAAATAGACAGCAGATGGCTCTGGTTCGTGCACCGGTTGTTTGGGACGTGCTGAGCATGGCTGGGCCTGTGCACCCCTCCAGACCTGGCACCAGTCCTGGCTTCCCCCACAACAGGACTCTTCAACCAGCAGGCTGTGAGTCTGTGCTAATGCAACCTGTACAACTCCCATCAGGGGAGGAGGAGAGTTACTGAAGCCCGCCCAAGGAAATGGTTCCATTTATACTGAAAAAAAATGAAATAAAAAATTCATAAGGCCCAAAATCAAGAAAGTTTGCGGTCATTTTTCTGTCACGAATACATAACTGACTAGGGGCTAACACTTGAATCCTACTATATCTTGTTTTTATACAGAAACCACAAATCTGTTGTTGTATTGTTGCAGAACCAAAAGGCCACACCTCAGTAACCACTTCCAGTAGTGGCCGCGCGAAAAGGTCGATGAGCGGTTGCTTTGCAGGGATCTGACGGCGACTTGGACGCCAGAATTAAAGACTTACAAAGGCTTGTTTGGTGAAATATAACAGCTTGAAATTCACATGTTCAGAGTTAAAACATTGCTGCCAGATCAGCACGACTTTCCATGACATCATCTTTCTCAGGATGTCACTGTTGTGAAGTTTTAGATGCAAACACGATCCAAGAGGTGAAGTATTTGTATGCCTTTATTAGAGAGTTGATACTAGTGGAGAAATGACAGGAAATGAGGGGAGAGGTAAGGGAAACCACATTCAACAAAGGTCCCCGGCCAGACTGAAATGGCAGTTGTTGCATTCATTGTCAGCAACTATGAGGTGATGAGTGCACCTCATGTGCTTTATTCTGATTAAAACAATAGGTACTTACGGTTTGTTGAGGTGTAGCAGATGGATTTTCTTTGCAGCAGGCCTGAGTTGGATGTGAGTTGCAGATGACAGGTGACATGTGATCGTGATAGCAGCCACATTTGAAACAAGCTGCCTTCTATATCCTGCCTCTGGTGTGACCCCAATCTTACATCAAAAACTACAGCAAATACATAGAAATCTACATTCATACTTTAAAATGACAACTAGCCTACTTGCACTGCTTTCTACAGCACACTGAAAATGGAAAATATGAACTTCACATTAGACACTCAACACCCCTGCACTAACTACTACTTGGTATCTCCTGGATCCTTTAAATTGTTGTTCGGATACCTTGGGGACTCTTTTAGCCCGAGCACTCTGGAGACATGACAGCACTGTTAAGTGATTTGAACAAAGACATCGTCTTAATCACTGCATAATACATGTAAACATTAAGTCATTCAATTCAATCATTTTGACATGAGTTAATAACAATAAAGACTTCATTCCATGTTGAAATAACCAAAATAGTCAAACAAAGTGTGTGTTTTCTTTCACAGGGCAGGCCTTCACTCAGTTCCAGCTGGGAGGCAGCTACAGTGTCTACAAAACATCAGGGGGATACTGCAGCAGCCCGGTTGGCCTTCAACCTACCCAAATTCTCCCACACTACACTGCTCCTCTGCAACCTGCACTGCTTACTGGTGGCTGCTTGAATCAGATTTAAGACACTGGTTCTTGCATCGTGCCTGCGAGTGGCTCAGGCCCATCCTACGTCCAGCCAGAGCAGCAAGTGAAAGTGTAAGTGAAATGGACAGCAGATACTGTCCACTACGCTCTGCTACTGCCAATCGGCTCACTACTCCCTCACTACGAGGGAGGCCCAGCTACCACTCAACAAAATCACAACTGTTTTGTCTTGGCTTCACAATGCTGGAACAAGCTCATTGACATCAGGGCAACAGACACTGTACACATCTTCCATCACACACTGAAAACTCATCAGTTCAAATTACACCTTGGTCCAAGGAAAGCTTTCTTTAACTGTACTTGCATGATTCTTGCAAATTTTGCATTGCATCTTATGGTTGAATGCACTTATTGTAAGAACGGTTTGTGCAATAATTCCCTGCTTTATGTTTATCTATATAAATTGACAGTGCAAATCTATGTAATGTACTTCAAGGCAATCTGTACAATGTGTTACAAAGAATGAAAAGAACCTTCATTTCAGTGTCACCCATTTGTTTGTTTTTTAATTTGTACTTCTTCAAGAATCATCCAGGCCCACTGGATATTTTTTTTAATCTTAATGTGAAAAAACCTCAAATCCATTCAATCTTCACCCAACTATGAGACTGTGACTATGGTTAAGTTTAAAGGTTAATTATGGTCATGAAAAATAAATAATTGTTATGGTTTGGTCAGGTTTAGGCAACTAAAACACTTTTCACACAAAGTTTGTGGTTATGATTCATAAAAAGGCAAGCGTTTAACGCAGGTCTGTGATGGGACACAGTCTCCTCTTTGTGCTACACACCCAACCACATCCTAACTTCCTTCCTTGCTACAGAAAGGACAAACTTCCTGTGTTGGCACTGGATGTTAATCGCGAGGTGCAGAAACACAATATACCCTATACATACACTGTGGGCCATACAGGGATACACACACAGGCATCTGACTGTCACAGTGAAGCACTTCTGCCTTCATGCTGTCTTACGTTATATAAAACCCTAATTTTCTGCTCTGAATTGTCTGTTGCAGATGTTTTCGTGACAAAGTTACACTCTACTGTGGAAGATAAAATATTGCCTATTGCCGTTTGGAGATGCCTACTGCAGGAGGTAATAAATGAGTTAAAGATGTTGCTTTCGTTGACAGCAAGCTCTTAATTAAAGCAGTGTGGGATAATGAGAGTTCACCTCCTCTCAAGCATGCACTGCACTAAACTCAGCTGACACAACAGAAAATTCACATGCAACCTTAGACCTGGGGGACAAATTACTCTGGCACCGGCCAGGCAGGGACTGTGCAGGAAGGCAAGCAGCAAATCAATACAGTTTTATAGACCTGAATCATGCCTAAATGTTCCTTCTTAGCTCTGCTACTGTCATTCATCTTTCTGTATTATGGCTGTACAGGAGAGAGGCGACACTCCCACACATTCAGACTGCTGTGATTGAGATGACTATGTTTTCCCTCTCCATTAGTTGATGGGAAGTCTCTATTCTGACTTTTGGATCTTGTTTTATAGTTTATAGAGTCCATTTCACATCGATCTGTACAGGTTCAGGTTATAAATGTAAAAGACAAAAAGTGCCTGATGCAAAGTTTGTGCAACAGGACTGTTTTGGATTCCAGCTAAACCAAACTCATGGCTGCCATCTACGGGCACAACTGGTAACTGATAAGAGTTTTGAGCAGCAGCACTGTTCCCCCTGTATTCTCCATCCTGCCTGTGACATAAAGTAGTTAAAATTGGCCCCACCTTTACCAGCGGCAACATTAAAGTGATTCTTACACATTAATGCATCCATAATTATAATACAATTTTATGATATACATTATTCTGAAATGGGTGATTCTGCATAATGAGTACTTTCACTTTGGTAGTTAATACATGTTTGCTTCTAATACTTTGTAAGACAGTATTTCTACACTGCTGTATTGGTACTTTTACTTAAAGCAGCAACAAGGAACTTTAATTGTGTTGATTCTGGTGGCCCCTGTGGACAAAGGCGGAAGTTTCTACATTCATTGATTTCAAGGGGAATCTGAAAGAATCTGACACCTTGGCAGACATTAGGAATAATTATAGAGAAACAGACAATCTTTCCAATGATAGTCTTGTGTTAAAAGCTCCTTGCAGGTTTAAGTAAAGGATCTGGGTATTTCTTCCACAGCTGCCAAGAAATTAACACATGCATCTATATTCTGAAGGGCAGTGTCACCTTGAATCTTACCTTTGTATTGTTAGTGTCATTGATCAGATTGTTAGTGTCATTGATCAGATTAAATTAAATCAACCAAGCATGCAGTATGTATATTTAAAAAGCACTTGTCATGATAATAAAATTGGCTCCTGAGATAAGTTGCAGCCTATTAACCAGTGTGAGCAGTCATGAACACACACAGAGGGAGGCCCTTAGAAATCCCTGTGGCGCCTCTTGTGTACGCAATGACCGCTCAACCAGTGCATTCCTGCAGCAAACTGTACTGTAGGGCTGCCCATGTTAACACAAGTTTCAACACAATGACAACAGAATCTAAAGGGACATTCCCACACTTTCAGCCTCTAATAGGGGAAATCGTATCTGCCAGCCATTATCAATAGTTTCAAATGAGACTTTCAGCCTGGAGGTGTCTTTAGTGTCCCAGTGTGACCGCTCTCTCTGCCTCTGCCAGTAACACACAACCTGACCTTCATTTTACCTACACTGACTCAGCATTTGCTGCTGCCTAATGTTAAGTGATTATGCTGCCGGTGACGCCCGGTGGGTGTGAGAGGCATTTGTCAAGGATCAGTCCAACATCCTCTTAACCACAATTTAAAAGCCTAAGAAGCCTGAGACCGTAAATGCCAACTATCTGGACTCACTCATCAGAAGCTAATTGATTTCTTTAATGGGTGAAAGTTAATGATGAGCAGTAGGTTTTCCACTATAAGTTTATTGTGAAGCATAAAGTCCCTTTTAAGTGAATCCCCTGATCAATACATCTTTTTCATGTTTCACATTTTTGTTTTGTTCGTTTTTTTTTGCAGTTTTTGATGTCAAAATTCAAATGTAAAGAAGGGATAGTCGATATAGTCCTTTACAGGTCCAGTGTGTAACATGTATGAGGATCTACTGGCAGAAATAAAATATAATGTTCACAGCTATGTTTTAAGTTAAAAAGTTGTAAAAACTGGAAAGAAATGTAGTATTTTTTACCACAGTCCCTGAAACCTTACATGGAATCATGCTCCTCAGCATTTGACATGATCTAATATATTACACCTTCAGTTTACCTTACAAAACCTTCTGTTCTTGCTTATAATTAGATTTGGTTCATGTCAGGAGGAGAGGGTCATTTTCAGCTAAAACCTCACATGAAGACTGAATATGTGATACAGGAAGTAAGGTTAATATTTGAGGGTCGCGTTACAGTGACTCAGGCTGCAGTGTATGAAATGGATCTGTTTTAAGGAAACTGAAGTCATCAATAGGTTTCACATTTTCTGTATTGTGTGGCAGCATTTAGTTTTGAGACACAGTCTGTCACTGCTGCACAGATTCTGTGAGGAACTCAAGTTGAGTTTTATTTTTAGGGATAGAAAGTTATACTATTCAAAACAAGGAACAAGGATTTATTTTGCCATGCTGGCTGCTTTAGGAGGGTGGTCAGTTGGTCCACCTGAAAGATCTCAATAACTATTGGATAAATGGTCCCCCAGATGAATCCTCTGGACTTCGGTGATTCCCTGATGCTTCCTGTAGTGCCAACACAAGGGCCACATTTAGGGTTTTGAGTGAAATGCCTTAACAACTACTGGACATGTTGCTATGCAATTTGATACTGCTCCTCAGGATGAATTGTAATAACAACAATAATAATCATAATAACAATCAGGTAAAAAATTGAATGTGTCTAATACTTCAGTTTATAAAAACCAAGCTGCAAAATGTCCCATCAGTCTCAGTTGTACTTCATGTGTAGTGTTAATTCGCAAATGTTAGCATGCTAACTAAACAAAAACTACTAACTACAACTGAAATGGTGAAAATGACAAACATCAGCATCGTCACATGTTAGCATGTTGCTCTAAGCTTCACTCTGCCTAAGTACAGCATCACAGAGCTGGTGGGATAGTTGCAGTAAATGTTACTCTATGTGACTATTTTTAGGAGTAATATACATGTTTAGTGCTCCAGTGAGTGCCTCAAAATAAACTACAGCGGCCATGATAATAATACTGAAGGGACATTTCACCTATTGCAAAGTGTCTAACTAATGTGTTTTTAATATTTTTTTTACAACAACAGAGCTCAATGACACAGAGGAATACGATATATCAGGCTGTAGCTACACAGTCAATACTAGAATCAATTATTGTTGTTAAAATTTGGGTGTTTTCAATATGGATCATATAGAATATCACAGGCCTTGTGCTTTAAAACAGATAATCAATATTTTTATCACAGCAATGTATCAAATGACACTTTGAAAACAAGGTGAGAATTGTCACCTGAATCTGCAGCTCCAAAACTCACTGTACACCGTACTAACGACAAACAACAGACCCAGTCAACAAACGTTTAGTAGCCAAACAGCTAGATATCTCCCTCAGCAGTTGGTAGAGACCAAAAACATTTGCTATAAGAGAGTTAATATTGGACTTACATTGGCCAGGTGGACAGAAACACAGCTCCACATGAATGAGGATGTTGCACCATAACTGCTGGACGTGTAAATAAGCAGCTGTTTCACTTATAAGGTGATAATAGGCAATGTTGTGTTCATAACTTCTTTCTGCTGACCCCAAGTGACCAAAAAAAATCAGTTACTGCAGTCTAAAGATCACAAATTACGTTCATGCATACAGTGGCTTCTCCAAAATGAGAAAAACAAAGATTATTTTCCCCTCAAAAGCTCAATGAGTGATAACTTCCTCTGACTAAAACTATTTTAGCCATTAATATCCATTCCGGCTGTTATTTATGTTTACAAAACAGCGAGCATGACAAGTAGAGGACAGTGCAGAAGCCACTTGTTTGTTTTGAAAAGTTGACCAAAACCAACTGTGAGATAATGTCTAAACCCAGAGACACACTTTCTGCACACAGCTGCAACTCCCTCGCCAGCGTAAACACAGCCTAACCAGTGACCTCTGTCCCCGCTGGTGTCTTGGTTTGGTTGAGATGCACTCCCTTATTATAACACATAAGTCTCTCTCCTCCTATATAATTACTGACTCGCTCCTGGCAAATAGCTGTTTAATGACATCTCAAATTTTGGAAAGAAAAAAAAAGAGCTCTAAACTTCTATTTTGAGATTTACATTCCACTTAATAATACTAAAGGGGGGGGGGGGGGTGGACATTTTTGTGAGTAAAGTTGGTCTGACTGGAGCCAGACGCAGGGGCCAGACAGTTTTATTGCATTGTGGGATTACTAGCTGGCTGAAATGAAAGTGTATCGTCACGGCTACCAGACCCCTGATCCTCACGGCTGCCGAAGGGCCAATGCATGACCTCTAAAGGTAACACAGCCCGGGGAGATTCTTATACAAGAACAAACACGTATTTTAGCCAAAATAAGAATGCCCCGTGACATTTGTTCTGGTATCTCCACAGGAGACACCCGGACATTCAGCTAATTAGGAAAGAAAAGTGCCCTGGCTGTGCAGGATAATGTGAAATTAAAATCAGGTGAGATATTGTTTAGTTCCAATAAAACGGTCCTAATAAAACAGGTCTTATAATAAATATTAATAACAAATACACAAAATGCCAAAATAACAAAGAAATTGTAATGTGTTGTTTATTAAACCTTTACTTAACCTGGATGTCTCTTGGGAAACTTTATTTACAAGACAGACATTTCTAAAACGGCAGGATACACATAGTCACACAAACCTAATTTATAAAATTCACATAAGGAAAAATTAAACAGGACCTTAGAGGCGTGAAAATGAGAAGTTTGATTATTCAACACAGTAACACTGCTTGTTTTTCGAATGTTGTCTAAATGTCTGATATGTAGCTGTGAAGGAAGTACTCACATTTATTATTTAAGAAACAATGTCACGCAGTAAAAATAAATATATCACAAGTAAACCCTCTGCACTGAAAACAGTAAAAATA